AAAATGTAGACCGCAGTTCCGTTGTACAAAGCAATGTTACTGCTGAGTTGATCGTGACTCCCATACCTTAACATAGACTTGCAACATCTGTAATGCTGAGATTGTTTTGTACAGCGCACCAAATTGAGATTCTCGTAGTTCAAAGATATTAAAATAAGCTTTGAAAACGGAGGCTGCTAGAGTCAAGTATCATCGTAGTGTGTATGGTATCTATAAAAGCAGGCATGATGTTGTGATGAAATTGTGCATGACAACCATTTGCTACCATCATCTGCGACATGGCTATTGATAAGTGTGTTGATTCATTTTATCAGCAACCGATGGGCAGCTGTGTATATAATTAGGCTGATATATGATTTCAGTGCCATTTTAACTTCTAATAAGTCTTTTCCATGTGTTTATTAATATTCTGGTCGAGAAACTGGCAGTCTTGTGATCCTGAAATGCTAATGATGGCAAGGCACGTAAGCAGTTTTGCTTGCATAAGGTTACTGTCTGTTGATGAAATTGAAACAGCTTCAAAGATGCAAATATGTCTTGTCCATACCGAGATTATAGCTGGAGTCATAAATCAGCTGCAGAGATGTTATAGCAAGTGCCCCTTGTTTATTTGGTTGGACAGATATACATGTGTTGTGTAACAACAAGTCAGCTTCAGTTGTCCATTGAAGAACTCACTCTTGCGGCTTGCTTGTATCTAACAATATATCAATTAACTACTATTGAGACAGCTTTGAAATGTATTTTATTTTGTGGTTAATATTACTTTTGTTAAAGCATGCTTTTGAACATTAGCCTTTCTTTTAGAATGGCAGAATATCTTCAGTTAATCTATATCGAGATTTAAGATGCTTCCGCGGAGAATTGTTTTAAAAATATTCGGTAGGGAGGGTGCCACAGGACACATTTTGCTTGTAGCGCCTTCTTGTTAAGATGATTAAGTCATTCTTCTTCTTCCTAGTTTTGTTTAGGCATGTCATAATGAATTTGAAATTCCCAGTTGTGCTATTGAAAAACATCTTTTATACCAATTTTTAAAATTCTTTTCCATTAAGAAAAAAGGCACTTTACATCAGTGATGATAACGTGGGTTATTTTCCATGGAATCTGTCATAACTGCTTGAAATGTCATCATTTAAGAGGCAATTTTTGCATGTTCCGTCAAGGCCAGTATTGTTTCGCCTTCCTGGGAGCAGCCATGTTGCCTACCGTTGAGCTTCTTTCAGAAATTGTTACCATGACAACGGTCCATTCAGGACTGACAGCTGTGTGTGCGCACTGAAGGAACTTGCTTCATTAAAAGAGCTTGTCGTTGCTTGTAAGAGCCCAGAGAACCTGTTTTTGTCTCGAGGAAATGAAGTGAAAAAAATCAACGTTAAATTTAACCAGAGTGACCGGGACTTGATCCGTACAATTTCGCCAGGAGCTCGTCAGCTAATAGCCAAGCTTACGTTAACCTCGTACAAAATGCCCACTTTTTCCCCCCATCTCCATTTTGTTCATCCTTCCAAGATTTCCCCTCTTTCATGTAATTACAAGAGACAGACCTGACTAGGCATATCGTTAACAGGGCTGTTTGAATAGGAATATTATTTTATTGTCTCCACGACCCAACGCAATTACTGTGTGGGGCATTGCTATCTGGTCTCTTTGTCCAAGCGTGAATTATTTACTTCAATATATCGCTTTCTTTTAACCTTGCACACGGGTGGACAAGTTATTTTGGTTAAGAGTTTGGCCTGCAATTGCTGTCTCCTCGCCCGTTTGGCTATGCCGCGTAGTAAATGGAACTCAGCGTTTGCCATCAATAAAACAGCAGATTTTATCACATTACTCCAGTGAATTTGTCAAGCTTTTGCTGATGCATTGGAGATTAGTCTGTGTGTATTATCTTCAGAGCTAATGATTGTTTGAAAGTTTCATCGAAAAAATATCATCAAGGCTGTTATCATGCCCGTATTTTCATGGAACAATTTCAATAAGGTGTGAGTAACAGTTATTACGTTTTTTAGGCTGGACTGTAAACATGTGGCGATAGATATTTGTACAATGGACTCTAAGTGTGTTTATCTTAATGATACTCCGTGTAAACAGTGTGAGTAAAGCTGTTTTAGATGTCATTCACAAGGAACTAGTTTCTTCCCACGCAGATACAGCTGTTTTCTCACTCCACTCGACACAAAGATCAGGAACATGACAATTTTATGTCCTTCCAAACAGGTGTGGCTATTTGCTCTCACATTGCCGACTTTAATTAGTTAGGCCCACACGGCACATTTTCTCAATTTCATAGCAAAACTTTCTATGGTTATGAATTCATGGGAGAAGATGCCAGCGTTACCAGGATGAGAAGGCATCCTCCTCGGTTGGAACATGTCCTAGCGACCGAAACTCGCGTCCTAGGAGCAGGCTGAGGAACATGTCAGATAGCTTTGTTGTCTATTTGTCTCCCGGTCTGTCTAGATGGCTTTGATTTTAGATTTGAAACACTTTGATGGTTTAGTTTAAGTCGGATCAGTGGGAGGTAGGGTTAAATGGCTAAGTCATGGTTTATCAAGACACTTCTGGTGATGAGATCATGCCATGATATTGCATCAAATGGATGTCAATGGTACACATCTGTGTTGATGAATAACAATATTGTACTGGGATGCACTTGGAAACTATTTTCAAGGAGCAGAAAAAATGTAATCGTTTGGCTAACTATACACATTGCTGTAAACGGTGTCTCACTCATGCCTACGCTTACAAGAAACCTGGCTGTAACAAGTGATTTGTTATCCGTGGTGTTACTCATTCTTAGACTGACATCATCATCCTTGTTGATGAAATCTTTCCAGCTTAAGTTGGGTGTTTGGGTGAAGTGAATAATTTACCTTACACCAAGAAATTAAACTGCTCATGCAGATACAACTGAAATTAAATGAACTTTCATGGTATATTCCTGATCCTGACCTGATAAAAGAACATAAAAAATTGTCAAAGATGTAATAATTTCCCATTTATTATGCTTTTTTCAATGCACTGAGATAAGGGAATGACAGTGTTTTGTAAGCTCAAGTGACATACTAGTTATTTCATTATAAATAAGGCAGTTGATTGATAATGCAGGCTAGGACCCATGAGGACGACCCTGTCATAAATGTATGAAGATGAGTTTAAAGTCCGCCTACGGTGAGAAAATTCCCTGAGAGCTGACGTTGCTACGTAAGGCTACATTTTATTAAGTGTCCTGCCAAACAATAGACAGTGTTTGTTTTCCTGTTGAGAAACAAGGAATAGGGAGCAATACATTTCTGACAAGATTCTGTAGCATGGTTTATCAAAATCATAATATTTCCATATATCTTTATTAGCATTCAAAGGGTAAATTATTGAGCCTGTCAACACTTCTGCTGAAAGTGTCAGTAACCTTGTCACTGCTGTTGAACCCATTGAGCTGGCAGTTAGCATAAGGATACCACCAAATGAAATTTGCAATTATTATTTACCAAGTACACTTTATATTTCATATGAATGATGTATGGTATGCATAGATGCTCAGCTTTGTAAATGTCAAAACTTAAGTAGTTTATGTACCTAAAATAGAAAATGTTGCTCATTAAAAATACATGGTTTAAATTTCATGTCATGATGTTCAAATTTTCTCTTCTGTTATTACTTATTCCAACTGACAATAATTGTTCAGTGATGATAAGAAAACACAAAAGTTCCTTCATTTTGAAACATTATCAACTTTTGATTTGATTAATAACAAAGAAAAACTGTCAGGATTTGTTGCATCATCAACTGGATGAAAGGGACATGATCATTGAAATCTCTGTAAACTGTATCGGACAACCTTTATGGATAACAGCTTATTTTATTTCATGAGTGCGAAGTTTTGATACAGATTCTTGTACCGTTGTCAAACAGTTCTACCTGCACCATGATCCTCTAATACTGACATGATCCGTCCATTAAATCTAACTTATTTTTCCAGAATTACTAACCCAGATGTAAAAATCTTTGTGAAACTTTTCTCATGTTTCAGCTGTCGAGTTTGTAAATAATTTTGTTTGAGAAATGTTCAGACATTGACAAACTGTTGACAAGCGAAGACATGTGGGTGCGTGGTCTATCTCGCAAAGTATTTAGCTGAACAAATCCAAGCTGATGTTGAATGACTTTACTTTTTGATGTCACTATAAGGCCAGTTGCATGGTCCTTTTCGTGGTGATTAGGTGTATTTCAGATGCTATCCCTAACAAGACTCACATCTTCCTTCCTTCCTTCTTTCTTCATCCTCACCATCATCCACACGCATGATACAGGATACTTATAATACAGGCTCATGTTTTCAGCACTGAGATCATTTTCACTGTTGAAATTGTTACTTTTGAATTTTAATTTGTCGCACATTTTAAGTTCCATAGACATTTTGCAATACCTAATTTTAATGCATTTATTTCATGATTTGCTGATCACTATTTTGCGTTGATGATAATCCCATTTCTGATAAACAGGTAACGGAGTGGAACAAAACTGCAATGGAAAATGTGTTTACTAGAGAAAATTGATTCAAATCTGACATTGTGATCCATCTCGGGTTCCTCATGTGGTGTCATGCATCGTGCCCCTATTGGCTTGTGTGCTTGTTAAATAGCCTGCTCATCTTTCCTTGGTCTCAGCGCAATCACTCACAAAATTCACTGCAGTTGTTTTGGGTGGTATTCTTTGGTGATATTGCCTGTTATCTTGTTCACCAAACAAAAACGTGTTCAGTGATATAACATTACATCACTATCCCAAATTTCATGGATGGTAATATCAAAATTTGAACTAATGGTTTGAAACTTAGAATTCTAATATTGGAAATGAAATAAATTATAAGGCTTAATTCAATACTGGGGGAAATGGAAAGGAAATTATGAGCCAAGAAATGGTGAGCAAGTCCTGCCCTTTAACCACCCGTCTCATTGGGAGTGAGCTCTTAGACACGTCCTCCTCTATTTCAACAGGTACAGCCTCCTCACAGCCCTATCACACCCAAACTTACCCCGGCCAAGGTCCTGGCCAGCAGCCACGCTTCTCGCAAGGTGAGTAGGGAGGTCCCCGGAACAGCCACTGCAGCTGCTGTTACCTGCTACCCACCCTGAAAACATCTCTCAAATTTTGTGCATGATGGTATTTTTTCTCACTGATGCAAAGCTAACTTGGAGTTTGTGAATTCTGTGAACTTTTTAGATGATTAATTGAAGCTGCACTTTGTTTTTGATTTCTGTTCTTGATTTTTGCTGAAGTGCCGCGTTTTCATGCTTTTGCCTCCTATTTTGCATGCATCTTAGAATTGTTATGGTCAATAAGCTCATTGTGTCATTATAAGTCATATCTACCAGATCTGAGTAGGCCTAAAAAAATAAGGTAATTTAGGCTCACAATATCAATATCAGTATCTAAACTATATTTATTCTCTTAGTAAATGTATAATTGTTTTATAAAGACAGAGATTTTAATTTTACTGATATTATAAATTGTTAACGTGACCGAGGCTGTGTTTCTTATGTGATAGAGTAATTTGTAACGAGGCATGTGTGCCTGTTTTATAGAAATATATGTGTTGCCGTACTGTGACAGCAGCACAATGATCCCAGTGTTAGTAGTAACAATAAGTAATATCTGGTAACCATGACACTGGGAATTACTATCACCATTACTGTAATCCTCCATCAATTCAACATCTTTGCAAGATTCAATTTCTAATTAGAAAGATGGATTTATAACTTTGTTCTAAAGAATAGAATTCTTGTCTCAGAAATATTTTTTGAATATTTTGAACCCATCAGTCTTAACCGTTTATGAACAAAGTATCAGCTAATGCTGTAATGTTATAGAAATATAGTCCAGTCCAGTTGTTATGACATGTTTTATCTTCCCTACTGAGAAATAACACCTGGTCGGTATTATTCATACAGTGTATTTCATTGGTGATAGACTCCCTCTGTAATTTCTATGGCTATAAATTGTGCCTGTATCCTAGAAACAGTTGAGCTGACAAAGTGCACACATGGGAGGTAACTCTTGCAAAGTAACAGAATTCCAAGAAGCACATTTCTTGTGATGCCTTGTGAAAACAAAGGGAAAAAAACAAATAGGAATAAAAAATTAATTTGCCATTTTTCGTAAGCTATGATCACAAATATCTGATTATTGAAATTGTTAAGGCTATTCTCAGCCTGTTATATTTTCAGTCATGGAAAGGTGGACTTGCAAAGACGAAGCCTTTCCATGCTCGAGGTACTGTGTAATTAAGTGGCCTCTTAGTAAATAGATGTCTTCAGATCAACTAATTAATAGAGAAATAATCACTCGGGACATATCTGGATTAAATGTAGTTTAGGCAGGTACCACAGCAAGGGTATATTTCATTTTAACTATGACTGTAATAAGAATATTTCTTACTAAATCTAAAGCTGTCCTGAAGTGATAAATATATGAATTCCCCCCACCCCCTTCCCCCCTTGGTTATCTCCCTTGATCTTTTTTTATTCTCATCTTGAACAATATGTATCTGGGTTGTTTCCATATGTTATTTCTGACTTCCATGGCAGTGAAGATATGTCTTAATTTTGATTTTGGAAATTTTCTTACAGCATGCAAGAGGAAAGAGGCAGAGCAAGAAAAGCCGCCAGAGGAAAATCGACCTCCAAAAAAAACCACGACTGGTGTTCACAGATATTCAACGCCGTACGCTTCATGCAATATTTAAGGAAACAAAACGTCCGTCGAAGGAGATGCAAGCTACTATTGCACAGCAACTTGGACTTGAAGTGAGCACAGTAGCCAACTTCTTCATGAACGCCCGACGCAGGTCTTTGGATAAGTGGCAAGACGATAACGGAAACAACAACCGTGAAAGTGCAAGTTCGTGTACGAAGAGTTAACCATGTATGTCACAATTGTGGATCTCCTTGCTCGCTCTCATAGATTCATACATCAGAGCCGGGACTACTTTTCTCGTCATCATGACCTCAGAAGTGTCATTGTCGTTGTCCTATAGCCATGCTCGATGCAATCCAAAGAACAACCGACATCTTTAGTTTGTTATTGCTATTTAAGTTGTATGTTTGCTTTGTTTTCAACATTCCATCAGCTGTTGATTATATAAATTATTTAATTTAATATTGACCCCAATTTAAATTATTGTTTCTCTTAACAAATCAGGTATTGTAGACTCTAAGTCCTAGCCAAATTTTTATATTTATTTATTTATCATATACCGAAAGGTATCTGGTTTTAACCTCTGATTTAAAAAAAGACATGGTCCAAGACCATAATCGTTATAACCACTGAAAATCCATCCTATGTGCTTCATATTTTGTTTTGGCTATTGCTAATCTATTTATCAATCGCTTTACTATTATCGTTTGCAAGTTGTTTTTGATGACAAATAAGTTATGGAGTTGATACATATTGCGACGTGTAGGTCATTCGAGACATATCATTTCTCAATTCATATTTGTATGAAGCCAAGGGAGGCTTTTATGCCCATATTCATCATTCCATTGAACTAGTCACTTCATTGCTCCTCCCTGCTACCTATCTTATTGTATAGTTCGTTAGTGTCTAACGAGCTCTGTGGAAACAAAGACTTTTTTGTGGAATCGCATTGAGGTTCAGATAATGTGCAATATTTTTCACATTTATAGTGTAGATAATCATGATAAATTAATTTTTTTAGTTATTTTTTTGTGGTTGATTTTGTTGAAATTGTGTTCTGATTTTCAGTATTTGTCAGATTGTGCTCCTTGTATTGTTATGATCATCAAAGTATTTTTTGGTCATTTTGATCAAGATGATAATGTGCGAGTGGAATCTTATATATCATTTATGTTTTATACACGTTTTATGAAATCCATGACCAAATTTTGCGTATTACGGAAAAATCTCAGTCCAATGATGGTTACTTCGAGTGTTAAGCCAATAGGGACAAAATAACACCATGGTGCTAAATCTTAATCATTTCTTTTCTCTCTAAGCAATAGGAAGAATCTTGTTACAGTTTCATCCAAATGATGAAGATATCGGTTCATAAAAATTCAATTAATATTTCTTATGAAGTCCATTCCACATCTTTTTTTTCCATTCCACGTATATATTTACTGAGACTCGAAGCAATCATCTCAACAGTATAGATCCTTGTTAATTTCATGTACAGTGTATTTGAAGTTATGTAAAAAAATCTGCACCAGTTTCGGTGAGGCCCAAGTAGGCTGAGGTGTATTTCTTTGTTGTATACTAAGTTATTTATTTATTTATTCCATGTCACATGATCGTTTGTCAGCTGGAAACTACGTGATAGGTGTTTCCGAGGTCCATGCAATAAATATACATATTCATCGATTCAACCCCAGTATTCAGGGTCCAATTTGTACATAGAAAAGCGTCTCAGTTTCTATTAAATGTATGTTTTGTGTACGGTTGTTTTGATGCATTTATAAATAAATATATAATATATAAACTGTCTCGTGCTGTTTTAGCCCGCTGCTGTAGCTAATAACTGCACCAGTAGAAACCATTGAGATGTGTACATTGGTATGAATCTCTATGTAATTGTCTCTGTAGTTCAAGAGAACATGTATGTTTGATCCGCTGTATAGATGAAAATCTGATAGATAGATGATCTGATGCCATCTGAATTCACTCAGATGCCAATACTATCATGAATGAACAAAAACATTTTTTGTAATGAAACGTTTTTTTCAACAAGAAAAATATAAGATACGTCCTTTCAAGGATGCGTCCATTGTGTTGTCATGGCAACGAGGAGGCATGCCCGTTGAGAGGGTCTCCCTGCGTCTGAGTTGTGTTAGCAGTAGCAGTGTTTGTTTTGTGTGAGACTGGGCTTGCTCCGTCAACTATGGAAGGGGACAAAGGGACACATTATATCTGTGGAACATCACACCAGGCAGTGTGGGAGCGTAGCAGATGTTGGTGTACGTACATGTGGAACTGACTGGGTTCTTGCACAGTGCCGCGGTGCAACTCGACAGTGGTTGAGTGTTCTCTGCAGAGTTCCATCTGTAAAAGTGTCCACAACGCCAACTTGACAAACTTTGGCATTGCCAGAAAACATATCGCCTTCCTGTGGTATTTATTTGCTATGTGTAGCAGCTTTAGTTTGCTAATTGTTTTGTCAATGACAAATCCATTTATCATATCATCCTGTCCTTACTGATATAGGGTATTACTCTGGGTTCATATATTTTAATGTGAAATTTTTATATTTTTGTGCATAGGGCATGAACATGTTAATGGATGTTTGATTTATTGTTAAAACATTTTATCAAATTGGTTTTCAAAGTTAGTTTTAAAACAAGATGTATTGGAATCTCATTAAGTGAAGATCTGAGATTTTTTTAAGACATTATGAACAAAGGTTTATTTATTTCATAAATTTATGCTATAAGTGCTACTTCTTGAATGAAGAATTCTGAAGCTTTTGTATCTCTCCTGTGGAAAGGTCACATATGATTTGAATCTACAAGATGAGGCCTTGTTTTCCAAATTTACCATTCAGCGTTCATATCATGCCCCTAAGTGTTAATCCTGCAGAACATAAGGCAGCATTTAAATAGTGGAAGGTTTTCTCTGCAATGTCGGTATAGGTTTGTACAATTTACATGGAAGCAGTGGTACTTAAGTGTACATGACTCTTGGATTGTGTTGATTATTTAGAAGGGAGTCATTACGAAGAAAGAAACATCTTAACGTGTACATATTCAAACATTTCTTAACAGACCTGAGAAATATCTGAAATTCTTCTTTAAGTCTCAGTTGTAATATCGAAACTGATTTTGTTGTAGAAGTGTTCAAAATTGGGGTTAAGATGGGAATTTTGTTAGTTTGAATATGGACATGTAGTTTGATGTTTTTAGCAATATATGCAATGTCTCCCTTACTTGATGTGTGTAAACAATTCAACTGGTGCATTATGAATTTCATACCATACTGGTTGTCAAGCTGTGTGTGCTAAGTTCTAATTTATCATTTATGATGTATAGGGAATTCAATGTAACATGAATTAGCCAATCAAGTTTAAATTAAGCTGCAGAAAACTGCAGCAACTAGTCATGAACGTTGATTTTGTCAAAACAATGGATTATTGTGCAATACAATCGTTTGTCCGTCGTTTGTATTTCTACATAAAGCGTGTGAACTTTTGTGGTGCAATTTAACCTCTCAAGCAAAACCAGCTGCAACAATTTTAGATAGGTTGTGTAGTTTATCCAACCTTATTTTTAGACTGTTTTTGTTAAGCTTTTTTGCTTTGTAGTTTAGACCATGACTCGTCAACCATTTTGAGACGAAGTCGTAGCATGCAACAGCATTCTGATTAGTCAATCAGAGGCAGCAGTGCAGCAGCAATTTGTAAGTGAAGGTAGCCCATGTTTCGTATGTAACTACCTTCCCCAAAACCACTGTACTATAGAATGTTGTCATTGTGCTGATCAATGTGACCATCTCACAGATATGCAACAGGACCTAGAAACTACTGTCTGTATGATAATACAAATAATAAAATAGGCACCAAGCTCATATTCTTGTTTGTTTTTAAAGTTTTGATATGTGAGTGAGTGAGTTTAGTTGGTTTTAGCAATATTCAAGCAATATCACGGCGGGGTACACCAGAAATGGGCTTCACACATACCCATGTAGGGAATCGAACCCGGGTCTTCGGTGTGACGAGTGAACGCTTTAACCACTAGGCTACACCTGCGCCCCTTTGATGTGTGAGCATGTGATGTATGAATGGTGATTTGTAACAGTGTGTTGTGTCCTCAGTATCATCTCAGTATCATCTATGATGCAGTGAGTCTGTACTGTGAACGAGAACTAGTCGAGATGTGCTTCTGGGAAAGGAATGCACAAACATAAAAGAGTGAGTGAGTTTAGTTTTACGCCACACTCTGCAATATTCCAGCTATATGTGGGCGGTCTGTAAATAATCAAACCTAGACCAGACAATCCAGTGATCAACAGCACGAGCATCGATCTATGCAATTGGAAACGATGACCGGTCAAGTCGGCGTGCCTGACCACCTGATCCTGTTGGTCGCCTCTTACGACAAGCATGGTTTCTGTGGACCAATTCTAACCCGAATCTTCACGGGTACAAACATAAAGAATATATGAGGAACTCTATTTAGGGAGTAAACCTATGAGCAGCTTAGAACAGCAGGTTATCTGTCTCGGTGCATGAATTTTTTAACAATAAAAGAAGAAACGATAATCCATTATCCAGTTTTGCATATTGGTATTTCTTATTATAACCCACATTAATTTCTGAAAAAATATATGAGAAAATGTGGGTTTCCTGAAACCAATTTAAGGCAAGTTCAGCGACAGCCTTGTTTGGAAAGGTGTTGGTATGACTGTTCTTGAGGCCAGTCTTTCTTTCTTGGCAACAGTGTGTCCAATGATGTCACGTTGCTATGGTCTCGTCACAGACCATGAAAATGGAATGGACTATCCAGTTCAGTTAAACTGCAATTCTCAAATTAATAGTTTCTGTGGCTCCATGGGCAATGTATGTCTTCATTTCAAGGATGCAAGCAAACTGTTGTTCATGAAGTCACGCAGATAAGCACGCAACGTACATCGTTGCTGCTTACCCGAAGTTGTCTCTTGGATGACTGAACAGCATTCTAATTTTCTTTACTGACACTTCGTCATGTTTGAGTGGAGCTGATGACACATTTGTTGTAACAACGCATTGCACATAATTATTGCATCTCATTGAAATTTGGTGCCTATTGTGTATCACATTGTGATTGGCCCGCCATAGTGTAGCTTGGTGGCAATAGCTGGCCTTCGAAAGTATAACAGACACTACATGCAGCATTGTGATGTCAGCCTGGTTACAACAGACACTACATGCAGCTTTATGATGTTAGCTGGGTTACAACAACACTACATCACAATAATGCAGCATTGTGATGTCAGCTTGGTTACAACAGACACTACATGCAGCTTTGTGATGTTAGCTGGGTTACAACAGACACTACATGCAGCATTGTGATGTTAGCTTGGGTTACAACAGACACTACATGCAGCATTGTGATGTTAGCTTGGTTACAACAGACACTACATGCAGCATTGTGATGTTAGCTTGGTTACAACAGACACTACATGCAGCATTGTGATGTTAGCTGGGTTACAACAGACACTACATGCAGCATTGTGATGTTAGCTGGGTTACAACAGACACTACATGCAGCATTGTGATGTTAGCTGGGTTACAACAGACACTACATGCAGCATTGTGATGTTAGCTGGGTTACAACAGACACTACATGCAGCATTGTGATGTTAGCTGGGTTACAACAGACACTACATGCAGCATTGTGATGTTAGCTGGGTTACAACAGACACTACATGCAGCTTTGTGATGTTAGCTTGGTTACAACAGACACTACATGCAGCATTGTGATGTTAGCTGGGTTACAACAGACACTACATGCAGCATTGGTGATGTTAGCTGGGTTACAACAGACACTACATGCAGCATTGGGATGTTAGCTGGGTTACAACAGACACTACATGCAGCATTGTGATGTTAGCTGGGTTACAACAGACACTACATGCATGCATTGTGATGATGTAGCTGGGTTACAACAGACACTGCATGCAGCATTGTGATGTTAGCTGGGTTACAACAGACACTACATGCAGCATTGTGATGTTAGCTGGGTTACAACAGACACTACATGCAGCATTGTGATGTTAGCTGGGTTACAACAGACACTACATGCAGCATTGTGATGTTAGCTGGGTTACAACAGACACTACATGCAGCATTGTGATGTTAGCTGGGTTACAACAGACACTACATGCAGCATTGTGATGTTAGCTGGGTTACAACAGACACTACATGCAGCATTGTGATGTTAGCTGGGTTACAACAGACACTACATGCAGCATTGTGATGTTAGCTGGGTTACAACAGACACTACATGCAGCTTTATGATGTTAGCTGGGTTACAACAGACACTACATGCAGCATTGTGATGTTAGCTGGGTTACAACAGACACTACATGCAGCATTGTGATGTTAGCTGGGTTACAACAGACACTACATGCAGCATTGTGATGTTAGCTGGGTTACAACAGACACTACATGCAGCATTGTGATGTTAGCTGGGTTACAACAGACACTACATGCAGCATTGTGATGTTAGCTGGGTTACAACAGACACTACATGCAGCATTGTGATGTTAGCTGGGTTACAACAGACACTACATGCAGCATTGTGATGTTAGCTGGGTTACAACAGACACTACATGCAGCTTTGTGATGTTAGCTGGGTTACAACAGACACTACATGCAGCTTTGTGATGTTAGCTGGGTTACAACAGACACTACATGCAGCATTGTGATGTTAGCTGGGTTACAACAGACACTACATGCAGCATTGTGATGTTAGCTGGGTTACAACAGACACTACATGCAGCATTGTGATGTTGCTGGTGTTAGTTACAACAGACATGCAGCTTTGTGAGACAACAGACTACATGCAGCATTGTGATGTTAGCTTGGTTACAACAGACACTACATGCAGCATTGTGATGTTAGCTGGGTTACAACAGACACTACATGCAGCATTGTGATGTTAGCTGGGTTACAACAGACACTACATGCAGCATTGTGATGTTAGCAGCTTGGTTACAACAGACACTACATGCAGCTTTGTGTGATGTTACAGCAGACACTACATGCAGCTTTTGTGATGTTACAACAGACACTACATGCAGCATTGTGATGTTAGCTGGGTTACAACAGACACTACATGCAGCATTGTGATGTTAGCTGGGTTACAACAGACACTACATGCAGCATTGTGATGTTAGCTTGGTTACAACAGACACTACATGCAGCATTGTGATGTTAGCTTGGTTACAACAGACACTACATGCAGCATTGTGATGTTAGCTGGGTTACAACAGACACTACATGCAGCATTGTGATGTTAGCTGGGTTACAACAGACACTACATGCAGCATTGTGATGTTAGCTGGGTTACAACAGACACTACATGCAGCATTGTGATGTTAGCTGGGTTACAACAGACACTACATGCAGCATTGTGATGTTAGCTGGGTTACAACAGACACTACATGCAGCATTGTGATGTTAGCTGGGTTACAACAGACACTACATGCAGCATTGTGATGTTAGCTTGGTTACAACAGACACTACATGCAGCATTGTGATGTTAGCTGGGTTACAACAGACACTACATGCAGCTTTGTGATGTTAGCTGGGTTACAACAGACACTACATGCAGCATTGTGATGTTAGCTGGGTTACAACAGACACTACATGCAGCTTTGTGATGTTAGCTGGGTTACAACAGACACTACATGCAGCATTGTGATGTTAGCTTGGTTACAACAGACACTACATGCAGCTTTGTGATGTTAGCTTGGTTACAACAGACTGGGTTACAACAGACACTACATGCAGCTTTGTGATGTTAGCTGGGTTACAACAGACACTACATGCAGCATTGTGATGTTAGCTGGGTTACAACAGACACTACATGCAGCATTGTGATGTTAGCTTGGTTACAACAGACACTACATGCAGCATTGTGATGTTAGCTGGGTTACAACAGACACTACATGCAGCTTTGTGATGTTAGCTGGGTTACAACAGACACTACATGCAGCATTGTGATGTTAGCTGGGTTACAACAGACACTACATGCAGCATTGTGATGTTAGCTGGGTTACAACAGACACTACATGCAGCATTGTGATGTTAGCTGGGTTACAACAGACACTACATGCAGCTTTGTGATGTTAGCTGGGTTACAACAGACACTACATGCAGCTTTGTGATGTTAGCTGGGTTACAACAGACACTACATGCAGCATTGTGATGTTAGCTGGGTTACAACAGACACTACATGCAGCATTGTGATGATGTTAGCTGGGTTACAACAGACACTACATGCAGCATTGTGATGTTAGCTGGGTTACAACAGACACTACATGCAGCATTGTGATGTTAGCTGGGTTACAACAGACACTACATGCAGCTTTGTGATGTTAGCTGGGTTACAACAGACACTACATGCAGCTTGTGATGTTATGCAACAGACACTACATGCATGTTGTGTGATGTTAGCTGGGTTACAACAGACACTACATGCAGCATTGTGATGTTAGCTTGGTTACAACAGACACTACATGCAGCTTTATGATGTTAGCTTGGTTACAACAGACACTACATGCAGCATTGTGATGTTAGCTTGGTTACAACAGACACTACATGCAGCTTTGTGATGTTAGCTGGGTTACAACAGACACTACATGCAGCATTGTGATGTTAGCTGGGTTACAACAGACACTACATGCAGCATTGTGATGTTAGCTGGGTTACAACAGACACTACATGCAGCTTTGTGATGTTAGCTGGGTTACAACAGACACTACATGCAGCATTGTGATGTTAGCTTGGTTACAACAGACACTACATGCAGCATTGTGATGTTAGCTGGGTTACAACAGACACTACATGCAGCATTGTGATG